GTGCAGCAGAGTTTAGTACCCACCCTGCTTCAACAATACCTGTAGATTTCTAACAAGCCTTAATTAGTTTGATCAGGTGTGTTTAATTAGAGTTACAGCTTAAAGTCCCAGTCACACTGCACTATTCTCCCTATAGACATGTGAATGCTGCAGACCTGGAATGCAAGCTCATGTGACAAGTTTTACAGTTCGCAGCATTGGAAAGTTCAAGCTTGGGAAACTCTGACCTGCAAAATCACATCATGTGATTGCTTGAGACCAATCAAGGATTAAAACATGACCTCTCTGGACAAAAATTCAAACTATGTACCAGTCGCTCCCTTTTTCAAGCTCATCATTTCATCATCTCATCATAATCATTTTGTCTAATCCCACTCCACTTCGCAGTTCCGTACAACATCATTTGGCATGCTCAAACGTTAGTGTGACCGCAGCCTTACTGTGCAGACCTGTGGCTCTCAGTAATATGTAAGAGGATATTTAAATGTTTGACACCTGTGCTATATACACTGCATGTATTGTTTATTAATTTAACTTTTTTTGTTTCATTGTAAATAGAACATGTATTGATATCTGCTGATTTCTTAATATTGTTATACCTTTTCTGTTGTATATTTGTTTGCTGCCAAAACAATAAAATACATTTGTCTAAAGAATTTTTATGCTTTCTATTTTTAATAATAGTTAAGAATACTGATTAATTTTAGTAACATTACAATAACTATATATGACAAACTATTAATGTGTATGCAGTATAATGCTGAGTTGTAACACTACAGTAGAGTAATTAACTGTAAGCAGTTTCCAGTTAGTTACCATTAATGCTCTATTACAGTAATTTACTGGCAACACTGTTGCCAGCTACTCACTGTAATGGTTGTGTTACAGTAAATAACTGGCAACACGGTCCTTAAATTAGCAAAAATACGTTCTGACACGCCCTGAAAGCGTTTGGGCCCCGCGTTTTGCACTCTCCGCATGGACCGTCAAAATAGAGCCCCATGTCTCTCTTTCTCTCTCTATCTTCTCTTATGCTGCGTTCACACCAGACGCGGCACGAGCGTCAAGCGCGAGTGATTTACATGTTAAGTCAATGCAAACGCGCGAATAGACATCCTGCGGTGCGATATGCACGAATAGCGCGGTGCAAATGAAGCAAATTGCGTGAATGGCGCGGGGCAAATTGAGCGTTTTGCGCGTTTGACGCGCTTAACGAGCGTTTTGCGCGAATCTCTCGAATTCGAAAATCTGAACTTCAGCGTACATTCGCGCCGCGTTAACCAATCAGAAGCTTGCTCTTGTGGGGGCGTGATTGTGACGTAGAACCTGTTGTCGGTGTTCCGAGGGAAATCTTCCAGCCTTAACCAACAACAGTTCATCAAACTCGGCTTGGCTCAGTCAGAAGCACCGCTGAAAGCCTCCGTCATCCAGGTTAAGTTTCTGGAAGAGTTTATGAGCTCACAGAGCTGGATGCACCTCTGAAAGAATGTAGTGGACTCAGGCACGACCCTAAACATATCGACGCTGTTTTTCAGTCTTTATAAAGCACATAAACACTGTTATTTTCTTCATAAAATCCATGTTAGCCATTTAGCTATGAAGCTAGAGTCTTCGGGCAGACAGAAGCCCTGCCCATCACGCGAATCCGCGTCTGTTCTGATATGAATTTGACACGCGAATGAAGCGGGGTTTGACGCGCGTATGAAGCGAGTAAACTCAAATGTTCACGCAGCTATTTATGCGCGAATAGCGCGATTTATCCACGCGTTCTGCGTCTGGTGTGAACACAGCAATAGGGTGCTTTCACACCTGCCTTATTTAGTTCGGTTGAATCGTTTGATAGTTCATTTCCCTCTTGGTGCGGTTCGTTTAAGCAGGTGTGAAATATGTAGATGTAGCAATTGCACTCGAGTTTGCACCAAAAGCAAATTAAAAAAAGCCTACAGAGACCACCTTAAAGAGGTAGTCTCTGTACGCTTTTAAGCAAACCCTGGAGCAGTTTGTTTGTGGTGAGAATGTGATCCGAACTAAAACAGACCCAACCTCAAAAAGTACTTTGCCTTTTTCGACTAATCCAGCTGCCGTAGGCCGATGCGCTGTGCATTATGGAATGAGGGAAAACATTGCTTTACCTACACAGAGAGAGAGAGGTTGGTAATATTTCCGGTGGATGACCATGTCGAAGTTTATCAAAATTAATTTACGCCACCTCCTGAATTGACGTATGACGGGTCTTCGCCATTTGCAGTGCATTAAAACATTGTTGTTTTTTTGCAGCAACAGCACTTCATTCTCAAAATGTATAGTTTGTTTAAAGTGATGTATACAAACTATGTAGTATACTATGAGCAGGAATACAATCTGTCAGCGCAGTTGTAGCTCCATAGTTAAAAGTGACATTTTGTCTCTGCCGGTTTGTTTACTTGCAGTTAATTAGTTCCATTGAAATTTTCCTGCATGTGAATCCAATTGATTAGCAGTTTAAGAAAGTTGCTCTCACATCTGGCCAATGAGTGATGTGGGTTTTGTCAGATGACTGCTTTTTAGTTATTTTCAAATCGATCGGGCCAAATCAATCAATGTCATGTGAAAATAAGCCAGAGACGGCAGAAAATGCTACAATGTGTCATTTGTTGCCCTTGGTCCGGACCAAAAGAACCAAACCACAAATATGAAAGCACCCTTACTCTCTAAATTGTTTGCATTCATTATGTAAAATCTATAACTTGACCTTTGTCTCATTTTTTGTCTGATTGTTAGGCTACAGTATATTTGCTTGACGTTGATTTAGTTTGCCATTTTAATCGGTTGTCTTTGAAAATGAATCAGATATAATTTGTGTTACCTAGAAAATAATTTAGAAAAAAATGTTTTATGGAAGTGAAAAGTCAAAGGCTGAGAATTAATGTATGGTTTTGCAGATTTGCTGTGTGGTTATCTTGAATGAATGTCAGGTTTTAAAAATTGTGTAACAAGTAAAGATTAAAAATTATCTGTGTAAGCAGTTGAAAAAAAAAGTAAAATGACCTGCATAGTCACCAGATCTGAATCTAAGAAAGCATCTTTAAGATGTGCTGGAACAACAGATTCCTATCATAGATGTGCAGTTAAAACATCTTCAGCAACCTCATGATTCTACAAGGTGTGTGTCCAAGATATCTGAGGAAAGTTTCCAGCACTTTGTTGATTTTTATATAAACACATGATTTCTTCGCATAATAAACCCCTATTTCCCTCTTTTAGATGCATTACAATGGTTTCGTTCATTTCCTACCACATTGTGTCACCATGTCTGCCGTTAACATCTTAAGTAGCTGCCACTAGCTGCTCTAGTTGGCCGACAGAACAGACACACAAAAAAGCTCTCAAAGCAACAATCAACGAGGGCCACAATCAAGACAAAAAATGTATTTACAGATGTAGTCAGTATCATTAACCCCCTTTGAATTGTTTTCTTATATAAAATTCTCCCAACACATTACACACACACATACACATACACACACACACGCACACACACACACACACACACACACACACACACAGTGCTCGGCATATGTTGATTAATTTCTCAATGAATACAGGTAATGTATCTTGGTGCATTTAAACAAAACAGATTTTATTAAACACATAATTATAAAAATATTTTTTTTAGTCACTAAACATATTTAGAAATTGAACTATTTTGAGCAATACTGCAAATTACAACTTATAAAATTTTAACAACATTTTTCTTTTTTCCCCCTTTTTTAAATTTGTATTTAATATTTTTTTATTACATATAAATTTGGCTGTACTAGTTTATGGAAAGTTATTGTAATTTATTTTGTTAGATAAGCTCCAGGTTTGGCTTCAGTAGAGAGTAATCTGATGTATATGCACAAATATAAAATTGTATAGCTTCCTATAAAAAATATGAATTTATAAATGTATAAGATAGATTTGTGAGGGGTGTACTTATATATACTGAACACTATATATATATATATTATAATATTTATATATAAATACAATTAAATTATTTGCCCCCCTGTGAATTTTGAAAGTTATGATGTTTAACAGAGCAAGGAAAGTTTCACAGTATGTCTGATAATATTTTTTCTTCTGGAGAAAGTCTTGCTTATTTTATTTCAGCTAGAACAAATGCAACTTTTATTTGAAAAAAAAAAAATCATTTTAAGGTCAAAATTATTTATCAGTTTTATTTTATTTATTTTTTTCGATAATCTACAGAACAAACCATCATTATACAATAACTTGCCTAATTACCCTAATCTGCCTAGTTAACCTAATTAACCTATGTAAGCTTTTAAATGTCACTTTAGCTGTATAGAAGTGTCTTGAAACATATCTATTAATATATTTACTGTTATCATGACAACGAAAAAATAAACCAGTTATTAGAAAAAAGTTATTAAAACTATTGTTTACGTGTTGAAAAAATCTGCTCTCCATTAAACAGAAATTAGGGAGCTAATAATTCAGAGGGGCTGAATGCATTTTGAAAATATTAACTATTAATTAATTATTATTAATCTTAAATATTTTTTAAGGGATAGAGCTTAGCCAAAAAAAAAAATCATCATTTTTAACTCACACTTTAAAGGTTTCTTTCTTTTGTCGAACACAAAATAAAATATTTTGAAGATAAAAACCTGTAACGCTTGACTTCCATCATGGGAAAAACAAATACTATGGAAGCTAATAGTTACAAAGTACAAAGTAAACCTTTCTTCAAAGGTTTGGTACAAGTAAAAGTGTAAGTAAATTGTATTTTTTCTGAACTACAGTATCTCTTTATGTTTAAGTGAATAGCAGAGCAGTTAAGTTAGAAACTCCTATTACAGCTTATTTACATTTAGTCTTTTGCAGTCTTTTAATTTTTTTTTTCTAGTCTGAACAAGTTTGGACCAGTAGGTTTAAAGACCCCTCATAATCTTGTAATTATACAAAAAAATAGTAATTCTAAATGGTTGTGACAATGAAGACAAAACAACTGATTGATGCTTGCCATTTGATACTTTTATTGAAAGATTTATGAAAGAATTCAGAACATTTCTTCAATTTTTTTTTTCATGACTTCATTAAACCTTTCCAGTTATCTTTTGGATCCAGGAAAGATATGCTGAAATCTTAGTATACATATTAGGAAGCAAACGTGAATTACAGCTGTAACGGTCACTAAAGGATGTGACCCCAACAGCATGTTCTCCACAAACCAAAGGACCTCCTGAATCCCCCTGTTAAAAAAAAAAAAAACACAGATCAACACGTCACTAGAGTAATTACTTCAAACATTAATGTCTGAATTATTTTTCATACATACTTTGCAGGTTCCACCATGGCCATAAACACAGAACATCTTTGATGGCTTAAAAAGAGATTCCCATCTGCGTTTACACTCTTCACCGCTCACTATGACTGTCTCTGCCTCCATTAGACGATCAGGTCTTGGGCCATTAAGCCACAATCTTCCCCAGCCAGCAACACTACAGACAGCATCTTCTTTGACATCTTCTCCATTTTTTGGTAATGATATCAGTCCAACGTTGTTGCTCAGTGTGACTTTTTTGTTCAACTATAATGCAAGGACATTTATTGATTATTCTGCTGTTTTTGTTTGTTTGTTTGGAAACAGAAGCTGCAAAGGTGAACTGTATTCATTTTAGATAAATAATCAAACATTTAAAACAGCCAAAAGAATTTCAGGCTGATACCTTCAAAAGCATGATGTCATTTTCATAATTCTGCCAACTAAATTCTGGATGTGGGATGTATGATGTCACTTCAAAGGAGTCGTAAGTTTCATTTTCACTCAAATCATGGGCGCCAACCACAACAGTGATGACATCACCTCTGTTGAAAAAGCATATTGTATCCCTGTCATATGATGCACTGTATGATTGTACTTCAGTTGATCAAAACATTGTCATTCAAAGCTCAACATCAAAGTTCACACACAAACAAACTTACTTTTTCCAGCAATGTGCAGCAGTCAAGACAAACTCTTCAGTAATGAGGGATCCCCCACAGCTATTTTTGCTATTTTTCTGAAGAGAAACCATGTAAGGTCTGGAGTGAGGTTTTGCTTCAGTGCCGTCCTCTATACCCACACGAGCTGAAAGAAATAGTGTTGTTAGTCAATTACTTAGAGCATGTCTTTTCAATATTCTTAACAAATCTTTAAATTATGTGTTGCAATCTCACCAGTGAAGGTCAGGTCTGGCACCAGAGAAACCAGCAGGAGCAGAGAGATGATGATGATGGTCATGATGAAGACTATCAGTGAGCTCTCACTATACAAACACTGTATATTTATATACACTGAAGTTGGGTGGAGACATTCAGATTAACTGTCCTTTTTTCAGTATTGCATCCTGAACAGCAGTTTTTTTTTTTTTTTTAAGAGTGGAGGTGTGACCCTTTTGATTGGCAGTTTTAAAGAGACATTTTTAAAGTCAAATCAACTGACTTCTTACAAAAAAAATAAATAAATAAAAAATAAATATATATATATATATATATATATATATATTACCTCCTTTTAAAAGCAGTGCAGCCATCATCAACTGTTTAAAGAAAATAGTCAGTTAAAGGCCACCAAATTTGCAGTTTTATTTTACAGGGTTTGAATAAGGTCCAGCCTAAATTTCAATAATTTTACTAAACCCAGGAGAGAAGTCAGTTTAAGGTTTTTTATTTATTTATTTATTAATTTTATTTATTTTTTTTTTGTATGAGAAATTCAAGAATAGTGCTAAAAATGTACAAATAAACTTTAAGTTTAAGAACAAGTGTCTTTAAACAATTGTTAAAACAAAAATAAAGATTATTTACGTGAAATATAAGAGCTTTATCCTCCATAGACTGCAAGGTATATGGAGACTCTTTAAGGCTCATTCAAAATTCAGAAAAATACCATTCAATTAGTCATTCATTCGTTTTCTTTTTGACTTAATCCTTTTATTAATCAGGGATCGCCTGGATGATTATCCTACATTTTTTATGCAGCGGATGCATGATGAGTTAAGGTGCTAATCATGAACTAACTTTACTTACTACATGATTCACAAGAGTTCATGTGTAAATAACGGCTAATTACTTGTTAGTACATGTTGTTAATTCATGTATAATTAATGTAATTAATTCATAATGTAATTCATCATCAAGTCATGAGCTGTTAATGTATAATTATGACATGACTTTACTTGGAGGGGCACACCATCATTAACTCATCCTTAACTACTCATCAACGCATGTGTTTAAACTGTTGATGTTGATGTTAATTAACAAACAATCATGTACTAACAAGTAATTAAGATAGCCGTTATTCACACATGAACTCAGACTTGTGAACCATGCAACCCAAGCTCATTCTGGAAACGTAGCCCCGCGACGTTTTTGGAGACCGCGATTTACGTGGCCGGAGGTACGTAAAGGCCGCGTTTGTTTTTTTTCGAGCGAATGCTGCGGGGCGGTGTTGCGCCGCTCCGTCCCTCCTCTTCGCGCTCGCCGGCCGACGGCTCGCCTCCGAGTGGAGGGCTTTCCCGACGCAATCAGTTTGTCCGCCTAGCTCACGCCTAGGGAACAGCAGGTTCCGGAAATCAGGTTCCGGAGATCAGGTTTGCTTTTTTTTTTTTTTTTTTTCGATCCGGCGGCTTTTTCGCGAAAAAGCGCGCACAGCGGCCTCTCGCAGATCCGCGAAAACAAAAAAACGCTCGAATACATACCTCCCGGGAAATCGTGGTCCGCAGAAACGTCCGCGGGGCTACGTTTCCACAATGAGCCCGGGTTGGAATCATGTTGTAGTTAAAACAAGTTCATGATTATGCATGCATTGAACATTACTTTATTATAAACTAATGACGAATAGCTTACTCTTAGCACTTCATTATTCATGTACTGTTATTGTGAAGTACCAGAACATGTTTGTTCAGCAGAGCTGAGAGAGAGTTGCTCATGATAAAGTTAATCAGTGGAAACTATCTAATGTTTAGCAAGTCAGTTTGTGAAGTAAGATATTATAAGTTCTTGTTAATTCTTGTTGTATCTTTTTCAGATCACAAATGGTTTGATCTAGAGCTATTAACATGTCAGTATTTATTTTGTTGAATTCATATCCAAAAGTATCATTATGGTAAAATAGTGTAATAACAGGTCATTGCAGAAACCTAATGCATTTAGGCATGTAAATGTAATGAAGATGATCTGCGATAGTTCAAACTGAGCATCAGAATTGGGATGAAAGTGGATCTATGTGATTTGACTTGATTGTTATTGTCACGAATTGTATTGCTGGACACATAACAAGGAGAGTGCAAAACAAAAGAGTTAAACTATTCAATAATCCACAGAAAAATATACATAAAATGTAAATGAGATTTAACAATGAATTAAAAAAACAAAGGAACAAAGGAAAACTAAACAAAAAGTCCATGAAGGTTACAGTTACTGGAAAGGGATGTCTTTCCATGATAAAAGGAACAACTGCAGAGCGAGGGTGGGTTTTATTTTGGTCAGCTGGAGAGCACTTTTTCACACAGATGAAGTTGATTTAGTTTGCCATTTTAATAGGTTGTCTTTGAAAAAGGATTCAGATATGTTAGTTTTTTTTTGTTTTTGTTACCTATAGATTAATTGCGAAAATTATTTGTGTATTGAAATTGAAAAAAAGTCAAAGGCTAAGAATTAATGTATGGGTTTTGCAGATTGGCCATGTGGTTATCTTATTTGAGTGTCATGTTTGAGAAATTGTGTAACAAGTAAAGATTATCTGTGTAAGGAGTTGAAAAAAAGGTCAAATGTCTTGCAAAGTCACCAGATCTGAATCTACCAGAGCATTTTTAGGATATGCTGGAACGAAAGATTCCTATCATAGATGTGCAGCTGAAACATTTGCAGCAAATTTATGATGCCACGAAGGTTCAGATATCTGGTGAAGGTTTCAAGCACTTTGTTGAATTTTCCTTGGTACACCTTATGTTTCGACTTCTGGGCTTGTAAGCCTAATCTAGATTCTTTATATATATATATATATAAGGGTGACGCAGTGGCGCTGTAGGTAGTGCTGTTGCCTCACATCAAGAAGGTCGCTGGTCTGAGTGTCTAGAGTGTCCTCGGCTGGGCCAGTTGGCAATTCTGTGTGGAGTTTGCATGTTCTCCCCCCCCGTTCGAGTGCTCCTCCGGGTGCTTCGGTTTCCCCCACAGTCCAAAGGCATGCGGTACAGGTGAATTGGGTAGGCTAAATTGTCTGTAATATATGAGTGTGAAAGGGTGTGTATGGATGTTTCCCAAAGATGGGTTGCAGCTAGAAGGGCATCCACTGCATAAAACTTGTGCTGGATAAATTCAATTCGCTGTGGCGACCCCAGATTAATAAAGGAACTAAGCCAAAGAAAAAAAAATGAAAAAACGAATATATATATATATATATATATATATATATATATATATATATATATATATATATATATATATATAACAACAGAATGATATCAATCTTTAATACAGCCACCTTTTACTGAAAAACTTATAGTCAAGGATAAGTTCCTGAACTGTTGCTGAGAGCATTTTGGGCCATTCCTCCTAGAACAATTTTCCAGTTGAATCAGGTTTGATGGGTGCTGCAAAGCATGAATGCCCGTTTTCAAAACAATCAATAGATGTTCAATGATGTTTAAGTCTGGGAAATGGGATGGTCATTCTAGAACATTGTAACTTATTTGACCATACCTTTCTTGATAGATCTGGAGCTGTGCTTTGGGTCATTGTCCTGCTAAAATATCCAATCCTGAAGTAACTTCTGCCTCTTGACTGAGTCCTAAACATTGCTCTAAAGAATCTGCTGATACTGGGTGGAATCCATGCAACCTTTAACTCTGACAAGGTTTCCAGTACCTGTGCTTGCCACATTCACACATGATGGACCCTCCACCATATTACACTGTAAAGAGCAGGTTCTTCTCCTGGAATGTTGTTTTCTTTTTCCACCACGCAAAGTGCCTATGGTTGTGGCATCTGTCCACAGTATATTTGTCCAGAACGATTCAGGCTTGTCCAGATGAGCATTTGCATACCTCAAACGACTTTTCTTGTTGGCAGAATGCAGAAAATGCTTTTCTGCATCACCTCCCATTGAGCTGTTCTTTGTGAAGAGTTGAGGTTGTGACATGATTTACAATGACATTATCAGCAGCAAGATGTTCCTGGAGCTCTTTAGAGGTGGTCTGTGACCATTCAAACCATTTTTCACCTTTGCCTTTCAGATATTTTTCATGGCTCACCCCATCTTTCCTTCACCAGAACTGTTCCTGTGGCCTTCCATTTTCTTACTTTATTTCTGACGGTGGATATACAGTAGAGACTTAAAAACTTTATGATCGCTTTTTGTTTTCTTCTCCTAGTATCAATTATCCTAGTTTTTAGGTCATTGGGAAGTTCTTTTAAGGTTTCCTTGGTGCTAGTTTTCGGTTTACAATAAGGAGAAGCGCAACTGGTAACCAGCTATCTTAAATATCCCTTTTCATTGCACCTGTGTTAGGATTGTTAAGGTTCACTGAGTCACTCAAATAAATTTTGTGTTGTAATCAATCAGCATTAAGTTACTACAGGTTTTAAAATCCACAAAAAAGAGAGTGCGCTCAAACATTTGTATAGCCTATTTTTCAGTTTCAGCTTTCACACATCTCAATACTGCTACACTACATATTTTTGTCTGAAAAAAACATCACATTATCTAGCTTTCTTTAGAAACCGAATGGCATTTTATTGTGACCTTCTCTTATGAAGAAAGATCACTAAATTATGCAGCTGCAAAGGTCCAAATTTTTGCATAAAACTGTAGATAAAAGTTTTACTTGCATTAAAAACATTTGTCAAGATGCCCCCAATCACACCCATCCCCACCCTATAACCCCAATTTAATTTAATATTGCATTTATAAATGAGGACAATTCAACTGATTGATGCTTGCCATTTCAAAGTTTTATTGAAAGATATGTGATAGAAGAAAAACATTTCATGAAAAACATTTCATGAATTCACTAAAAATTTTCAATTTTGTGGTGGATCCATTTAAGATATGCTGAAATCCTAGTATACACATTAGGAAGCAAACGTGAATTACAGAGATAATGGTCACTGTAAGATGTGACACCAACAGCAGTGACTCCACAAACCAATGGACCTCCTGAATCCCCCTGTTTAAAAATACACACATATCAACACATCACTAGTGAAACAGGCTTGTACATTACCATAAAAAATGATTTTTTGCTTATTTATTATTTTTACGTACGATGCAGGATCCACCATAGCCATAAACACAGATCAGCTTTGAGGCCATATAATCAGATCCCCATCTGCGTTCACACTCTGCATCATACATTATAACTGTCTCTGCCTCCATTAGACGATCAGACACTGGGCCGTTCATCCACAGTGTTCCCCAACCAGCAACACTACAGTGAGTGTCTGCTTCAACATCTTCTCCATCCTTTGGTAATGATATTAGTCCAACATTGTCACTCAGTCTGACTTTTTCCTTTAGCTGTAATGCAAAAATACAGTTGCTAATTGTAAACTTTTTATACAATCTTATTGGTATTTTTTGTAGGTTCAAAACAAAAGTCCCCAAAGCCAAGATGAATTAAATACATTTGAAATTCAAAACATTTTAAACAAATAGAAGTATTACAGGTTGATACCTTCAAAAGCATGAGGTCATTCCCCAAAGTATTAGAATTATAGTCTGGATGTGGGAGGTAGGATGCCACTTCAAAGGAATTGTACATTTTATCTTTACTCAAGTCATGGGCGCCAACCACAACCGTCAAGATATCACTTCTGTTGAAAAAGCATGTTATATCACTGCTATATGATGCACTTTATGTTTATGTCAGATATGTCATTCAAAAGTGATTGGTTTGACTAAACATTTCAGTTCACACCAAACACAACTCTTACTCTTTCCAGCAATGTGCAGCAGTCAAGACAAACTCTTCAGTAATGAGGGATCCGCCACAGATATGCTGCTCATAATATTGAACAGAAACCATGTAAGGTCTGGAGTGAGGTTTTGCTTCCCTGCCGTCTACTATACCCACATGAGCTGAAATAGTGGTGTTACTCAGTTAGCACATCTCACGTAAATATTATTCAGAATTGTGTAAATCGTGCGTGATATAGTCAGTCTCACCAGTGAAGGCCAAGTGTGGCAGCAGAGAAACCAGCAGGACCAGAGAGATGATGAGGATGGTCATGATGAAGACTATCAGGAAGCTCTTAATGATGACCGCATTTGAAATAATATGAGAAGTGGGTGGAGACACTGAGCTTCTTGTAACTTTTCATGGTGTTAGTAAATTAGTGATAAAAAGTTATGAAATTGTTGTGACCTTTGATGACACGATTGAAATCTTGCTGACAGTGCAGCTTTGCATCAAAAGGAATACATGTGATATATCTAGCCATTCAAAACACACTAATAGCAGGGCATGACAAAAATATAATTTATAGCAGGGAATTTATATTTATAGCATATCAACATAGCAGGTGAGATGATCGTGGAGTGGAGTTAGTGATATAGAAGTTTGTTTAAAAGCAAATGCATCTAACGCAGTCAATGTATGAAAGGTTACTCCATTGCCAGAAATGTCCTCCTCCTGTTCATAGCAGTCAAGCAGGAAATTGTTTCTTTGCCATTTCTAGGGATGCTCAAAATAATTGATTTACCGTTAACTGAAAGGGTGCGTTTGTAACCGATTACTGATATCAGTTAAATGATTAAAAATATTATTTTTTAATATTTTAGTTTGGCTGCATAATGGGCCGATCGAATGTACTTTTTGCGTTAAGAGGGGCATCTTTTGAATGGTTTACTAATGGCCGCAAATGTTTTGCACGCGGCCAAAGAGCTTAGAATGACCAAGAGGCGACAGTCTAGTGTAATTTGGGAAAAAGCCACTAGAGGGCGGCCATTTTGGAATAAAAACTCCATTAGAACAACAGCATATTATAAGTTTGTAAAATAAACTATTAAAAGTGCTGATGATTGTAATAGTAAGTGTTGTATTGTCATCTTTCCGGTTATATCTCAGCTTTAATGCACTTTTGAAATATATAAATAAAAAAACAAAGCAGCTGCTTACCATCGCGACAGTAATGAGATCCAATGGGCGGCCGATCACTTTCACTCCAAAATGGCGGAATCCAGGGCTGTTGCTGTGTGGTTGGCATTTCTGTGTGGAGTTTGCATGTTCTCCCCCCGTTCGAGTGCTCCTCCGGGTGCTCCGGTTTACCCCACAGTCCAAAGACATGTGGTACGGGTAAATTGGGTAGGCTAAATTGTCCGTAGTGTATGAGTGTGTGTGTGAACGTGTGTGTGGATGTTTCCCAGAGATGGGTTGCGGCTGAAAGGGCATCCGCTGCGTAACAATTTGCTTGATAAGTTGGCGGTTCATTCCGCTGTGGCGACCCAGGATTAATAAAGGGACTAAGCCGACAAGAAAATGAATGAATGAATTACTGACCATTTACCTGTCCCTTATTATGGTGGGCATATCCCTTATTTTCACATCCCGATGTTGACAGGTATGCCACGGCCACATTACCCATTCAAAACATTCAGTCATTGTTGTTATTTTTAATTGCAGATTATAATCGCACCAAAACGTATTAAAAGGTGAGTGAATTATAACAGCGCAAACTTTTCTGTAACTGCAGAAGTGCTGTACGCTAATTGTTAAACCCTTTGAGGCTACGTCCTGACTGACTGACTGACAGGTGCATGATGCATGAGGCCAGCAAACACATTGTAGTTTTCAGTTAAGATGAACACAGTTTCCATACTTTATTTATAGAAAAAGGTCTATAGCTCTGCATATAATGACTTTGTCTTGCTTGAATTTATAGCCATTTCACTTTACTTCAGGACGCATTAATGCCGCTCTGTAGGTCTAATCGAGACATTTATAAATATTCCTTGCAAATCTAATAAATGGAGACATACTCACTACATAAACGCGCTAAATCTGCCTACAGACATATTTGCCAAAGAAGCAAAATGGAAGAAGAATATTTCTGTTTGAGACGTGTTGATGCCAAACCAGCACTGATGCTGATCGCCTCCTGGATCTGCATCATAAACACAACAAATAGGCTTAACCTTTTATTTTACAGCTTATAAAGCATGTATGCACATCAATGCAATATCATATTTAAACAACATATCTGTTTACAAAAAGTCAACATATGCGCGCATTGCCAATGTCTTTTCATCACACAGCGCGCACATTTGAACCGCGAGTGAGAGAGGAAACCTTCTTTCAAGACATAATCTTTAAAATAATGATTTCTATTAAAAATGTAAAAAGGTTTTGTAATATAATAATAACAGGGGGGCATTAAATAAATTGAAGCGTATCTGCTAACAGCGTATGCGGACACACCCAAACACAACTGGATGTACGGAAAGCGAAAAGGGACAAAAGTGTTGGCTATGCTTTTTATGTCTTGCAAAGTCAAAGTAGCGCAATAAAATCAATCGTACACTTCCATTACATATTACCTGTGGTTCTTGTTTGCATTCTTAGCTATTTTCTAATGTCTGAGTTTATGTTTTAATAATCCAGCAACAGAAGGAGACTACAAATGCTTTTCCTGTTAATAAAAAAATGAAATGTAAAAAATTTTATTTTCTTGTTTATCTCTTTGAAAATTGCTATGGTATACCTGCTGTAAATTTGTCACTAAAATGTAAACCTGTGTATGGCAAACATGCTGTCTAAAATAAAATTCCGCTTAAGGAATAAGGAAAAACCTTCTAGATTACGTTGAGAAACTTCATTTTCAGGTTCGCGAAAAATACGTACTTTAAGAACCACTCTGCTTCCCGTATATCAAGTTGTGCTTCACGGGTACGTTGTTTGCGATCATACGTATGGTGCCTCAGCAACAACACAAACCATGTAGTTTAAACGGTAAAGGGGAACAGACATTCCGAGGGGAACAGAATCGACTGCTACAGAGGAACTATGACGTCAATTTGTATGCAAAAGTCAATGGGGTTTTTAAATGGGGTTTCAGTATAATCGCTTAAATAAGGCTTGTGGCTAACACAAACTCAAAATACTTTCACTTTTTGTTCTACGACATAAAACACCTCAGTTACAGTACACGCTTAAATTTTTAAATAGGTTATGCTTCTTTAAAAAGACGGTTGCTATCAAGTTGCTAATTGGGACTACAGGCGTTGTCGGAGACATTAAACGTCATCGAGCTGATCTTGTCTGGAGCTCAGCTCGCTCGTGATGGGCCTTTGGATTTGTCTGTGATTTAGGTATTTTCATGAATAGTATTTTATAGTTTGTAGTATTACTCTAATTGGGAATTCAGATTGTGTGCAGATAATTCCTTCACTTGTAAAGGCTGTCGAGACAGATTAATTTGTTGATCATTTTAATAAACAATATTATAAAGATACTGCTTACTAGTGCAGCCTGTCTCTGTCCTGCTCTCAGTAATGCAAACGTATGAATAAATGTGTAAAAATATATGCATGTTAACTGTCATTTTAATGTGATCAAGTGATTTTTCGTCGGGTTTTTCTTCTTCATCTGAACACATTTAACTCTGTCATAACATATTTACACTCCTCTGTAAAATGTACAGCATATGTGACTGTATGGGCTGCTTTTCAGTGTATTTTGTGACAAAAAGGAATATTGAATGTTGCTCTGTGTCTACGATTATGGAACTTGCAGGCATTTGATAGTTCCTCACACCTAATTTCTGTTGTCTGTTGAGGTAAGCAGGCTGTGTGCACGCGCGCGATACACTTATTTTAATATGTCTTATGATAATACTATGTAGGCACATTTATACACACAGTTTTAAAACTTTTAGAACAACCGTAAAGCAAAACAGATGTATTTCCCATGTAAAAACGATCCAAAAGGCACATAGGTCTATGTGTTTTTGCATATTTATTTGTTTATAATATATACAGTGGATTATATTATAATAAACAAAGAGATTAACTATTTGTCATGGACATTATTTCTAAAAAATAAGCTTGAAAAGTTGCCTGTAGCAGGGTGTTGCTGATGTCACCGGCGAGCGCCCCGAGGGCAGTGTAGTCCGTTTGTAACCTAATGTTAGCTTTTCAATTCTTGCGTTTGTATTTAAGATCCAAAGTGCTCAAAGTTGTATTTTCGTGTGAGGATTATCCGGCTGGACAAAACGTGTAAGTGTCATGAACAGTGTTTGAACACAGAGTTTATTATTTGCAATCTTCGAAAAGGCTATGGGAAAATCCCATAGGGATTTTCACGAGGGAACCAGTTTTATGCTAGCAGCCGATTAGCCTACAAAGTGACGTCATAGTTCCTCCACTCTATTACTGATTACAGATGAGCGGCCAGTCGTGCTCAATCATATCACATGTTCCTCTCAAAATTTGTTTATGAAACTTCACTTATACAATTCACGAATACGATTCATTAATACACAAATCCAATTCATAAATTCCAAACATAAAGTATAAATACACAAATCCAATTAATTTGGCCAAAAGTGCTTTTTTCGTGACTTTTTCACGAATTGTGTGTTGTAATTATGAATTGGATATTGTAAACGTTATTGTGCTGTGTATGTATGAATTTTACATTGTAAATGTATTCTTTTTTGAGACTGATCCAGATTCCAAAGAGACTGGTAGACTTTCAATTGTACTCTGTAAATGACATCACTGTGAGGGCTAGGTGTAGGGGTGGATAGGTGTAGACATTTAAAGTGCATGTGCCTGAGAGTGCAAGTGTGGCAAGGTGTTTTTAATAAAATGGCCTGTGAGTTTGTATCTCTTTATATACAACTATCAAAGTTGTATTTACAATACAGTATTCTGAGAGTGTAGCTGTACCTCTGCGTACCCGGCACCGGGTCTGTGATGTCATTTACTTCTGCATTCTTTAAATTTTAAAGGTCCGTAGTGGCCCAATACCCCCATCCGTACTCTCATCAGTTGGAATAGAATAACTTTTGCATAGATTATGATAGAGACATTTTTCTTTTTTCCTATGATTACTGACATGGACAGGAACCAACAAAATTATTTACAGCAACCTAGACCACACAGAACCTAAAAGGTACATTTTCAAATTTGACTTTACAAAAATAAAGCGACTCTTTTTATGGAGATGTTTATTATAACACAGACAACATATACAATAATTATGTTATTAATTTTCAACAGTGTTTAATGAAAATTTAAAGGGTTTTCTTTTGAATGATACCAAACTTTTGCATTTACATCTCTGCATGTGGATTTGGGAAGCTTTTGCATTTGGATAGGAAAAATCCAGGCAGATTTTATAACACTTGACTTTAAGAGATTATTAATTAATTAATTTATTTATTGATTGATTGATTCTAGTATGAACAAATTTTGAACAGTAGTTTAAAAGACCCCTCATCTTATAATTATGAAATATTTAAATTCTAAATGGTTGTCACAATGAAGATGAAACAACTGATTGATGCTTGACATTGGATACATTTATTGAAAGATTTATGAAATAATAAAAAACATTTCTTCCATCTTTTTAAATTCTTTTTCATGACTTCATTAAACATTTCCAGTTAGGTGGTAGATCCATGAAAGATATGCTGAAATCCTAGTATAAGTATTAGGAAGCAAACGTGAATTACAGAGATATGGGTCACTAAAGGATGTGATACCAACAGCAGTGTCTCCACAAACCAAAGGACCTCCTGAATCCCCCTGTTAAAACACAGATCAACACGTCACTTGTGAAATTAGTTCAAACATTAAAATTAAGTCTGAATTAATTGTAATACATACTTTGCAGGTTCCACCAGGACCATAAACACAGATCATCTCTGAAGCCACATAAGTTTGTCTCCATCTGCGTTGACACTCTGCATCGTTCACTATAACTGTCTCTGCCTCTCTTAGACGATCAGGTTTTGGGCCTTTTCTCGACAGTCTTCCCCAACCAGCAACACTACAGGCAGTATCTGCTTTAACATCTTCCCCATATTTTGGTAATGATATCAGTCCAACGTTGTTGCTCAGTGTAACTTTTTTGTTCAACTATAATGCAAAGACATTTATTGATTATTCTGCTGTTTTTGTTTGTTTGAATGAAAACAGAAGCATCAAATCCAAAGGTGAACGGAATTAATTTAAAATAAATAATCAAACATTTAAAACAACTAAAAGTATTACAGGCTGATACCTTCAAAAGCATGATGTCATTCTTCAAAGTATTCAAATCAAAGTTTGGATGTTGGACGTAGGATGTCACTTTAAAGGAGTTGGAACTATCAGTCATCCTCAAATCATGGGCGCCAACCACAACCGTGAGGGGATCACCTCTGTTGGAAAAGCATATTGTATTACTGCCATGTGATGCACTGTATGATTCTACTACAGCTGATCAAAACATTGTCATTCAAAAGGGATTTTAGCTCAACACAGTTCAAATTAAACAAAACTCTTACTTCCAGCAATGTGCAGCAGTCAAGACGAACTGTTGATGAATGAGGAATCCTCCACAGATATGCCGGCTTTTTTTCTGAAGAGAAACCATATAAGGTCTGGAGTGAGGTTCTGCTTCTGTGCCGTCCACTATGCCCACACGAGCTGAAAGAAATAGTGTTAGTCAATTAGTTAATTACTCACCAAATGTATTTCAATTGTATTAACAAACCTGTAAGTCATGTCTCACCAGTGAAGGTCAGGTGTGGCACCAGAGAAACCAGCAGGAGCAGAGAGATGGTGATGATGGTCATGATGAAGAATATCAGTGAGCTCTCACTATGCAAACACTGTATAAATACACTGAAGTTGGGTGGAGACATTCAGATTGACAGTCGTTTTTTAGTAGTGCATCCTGAACAGCAGTTTTTTTTTTTTTAAGAGTGAAGGTGACCCATTTGATTGGCTGTTTTAAAGAGACATTTTGAAAGTCAAATCAACTGACTCAGTGAATTTCTCACAAAAAGAAAAAAATGCTTCCTTTTAAAAGTAGTGTGCATGAACTGTAAAAAAAAAAAAAAGTTAAAGGCCACCAAATTTGTATTTTTACTTGACAGGGTTTTGAATGAAGTCCAGCTTAGAATTCAGTAATTTCACTAAAGCCAGGAGAGAAGTCAATTTTTTTAATTTTAATTTTTTTTTTTTTTTTTTTAATGAGAAATTCAAGCATAGTGCTAAAAATGGACAAATGAATTTTAGGTTTAAGAACAGTTATCTTTGGACATTTGGCAAAATGCAATTTAAGATTATTTAGGGAAAATCTGAGAGTGTCATCATCATCCTCCATAGACAGCAAGGTTCCCAACTTATTCAAGGTACAGAAAAATACCCAAAAAAATACAAATAAAATTTTTATTCCATTAGAATAAAACAATATAAAAGAAAAATAACAGTTTCATTCAACAGGTTCTTATTCTCAGAGTCAGTCTGTCAAGCACGTCCATGTGTACCACTTAAAGGTTCAAGAGACCCTCGAGTACTTTTTTGAGATGTTAACAGATTTGTGTGTATTGAGCATTATTTAAGACAATGTTAGCACTTGTCAGCTTTAATTGTGGGGAAAACTGGATAATTATGAGCTTTTATAAGTTAATTTCATCTTCGGGGTTTAAAATGATTTTTGGGGTGGGATCAAAATCGGTGATGTAGCACAAAACTGCAAGTGGAGTGATGATGTGTCGGTTTCTCATTAATATTTATAGCAGAGTTTACTCTTTCTATGTAAAGAGCTTGCATCTTTATTATTCATGCGGCACACAGTATTTAGCCATTTATGAAGTGTCGTATGTGCAATCTTGTCAGGGTCAATACAGCAAAGCTGTTTGTGTGCAGCAAGCATATACGTCGGTAAAACTGTATGAGAATTGGAGAATGGCAGACGTTGTCTTTTATCAGTTGAGTTTGTTCACATGTAGACACATCGCCGTGCTGCTGTGTTTGCCTAAATTCTTCAGATTACTAGCAGGGCTAATGGTTGCAATAGACAGGGCAAGAGACCTGCTGCACTAAGTCTGCATTCAGACAGGGGATAGAGGGAGAAGTCCTTATTTATAGTGTTTATATAAACACGATTATCTTTAGCTATGATGATATAAATTGTGGTTGTGTGTATATGAAATTACGAATAACAAATGTTGCAGGACATTAAATTACTGTTAATTTCTTTGCATTTTAACTTTGTAAACTATAAAATCATGGGTCCCCTCACGGTTTGTCATTTTTTGAACCAACTTACAACAGTTAATCGCTCCCCTCCTAGTCCTCTGCTCTGCTGGCCTCGCCCACTCCTCTACGTCCATTATGATGCATTTTGTGAAAAAAATCTGAGGAAGACATGATCCGAAAGTGTGGGGTTTCATGGCCCTTTACGGCTGATTTATACTTCTGCGTCAAGCGCATGCATATGCTCCGGTGCAGCCTGTGCATGGATGCATATCCCTCACCGTGGCCGTCACCAACGCTAATGTGCACCTTTCAAAAATGTAGCTACACGTCGCAACAACACAGAGTGCGAGCTCTGTGATTGGTCGGCTTGGTAGCGCTGAAGAGTGTGGGCGAGATCGAGAGCCGCGCGAGCCCGATGGAGCAAGTGTTTACAAGTTGTTGCACATCTGCTGGTTCCTGCCTCAAAATGAGTGAGTATGAACTACTTGTACATTAAGGTAGCGTTCAGAAAAAACAAAACACCAGTGAAGAAACTCGACACGGAAGAACATAAAAACCTAGTGCCTAGCAATTCGGAAGTGTTATTGCAGAGCAACACAAACTGTGCACAGAAGTATGCACAATAACACGCAAGGTATGCGCCATGGATCACGGCGATCACTTGATGCAGAATTATAAACCAGGCTAAAGTCAAATTACTTGCCTGTGCTTTGCTTCAGATCATATGCTGTTATTATAATAGTTAAAAATATCTGTTTTGAGGTGCTTCATTGTGCTGTGGAGAACCCTGATAAATCCGACGGAGACACATGACTGCCAGGACAACAGGCTTTGGTGGAGTCAATGTAAGGAGGAGTGACAGTTGAATTTAGGGGGTTCAATACAAATAAACTCCTGCTGACTATCATGCACAAATTTGCAGTTGAGACATTTTTGAAGAAAGTCTTTAACAACTAGAATGGTTCCTGGTTTTGGCCTGTAGTACGGCAGCAGAATTTTGTAAAAGATGCAGCTACTGTAAGTAATATTCCTTTGAGTAAGACTGATGAGATGTCTGCTGCAGTAATCTGTCCTGCTGGCAGTTTTTCTGGGTCTCGCTTTTATATAAAGGATCTGATCTGTGCAAGTTTTTTAGATGGTGATAGGTTGCTTTAGTTTTGGCTTTATTATGGCTGTTGGAATTATGTTCTGGCGTATCTAGAACTAATGTTAGAAAATAGGATAGAAATATGCCTTATCAAAGAAAATGCAAATATAATCAGAGAGAGTTTAATGAAGGTTTTAGGACTAAGCAGACACCTTTGCCGGCTGGTAGCTCCGGCTTCACAACAAGCAGCACTTGCACTATTCACTGTCAGACTGGACTACATTTAAAACACCAATATGTGAAAGTTTAATGTAAACCTCAGTTTAAATAAATACTCAAGTAGCAATTTAGCATGGTAAGTAGTCTGACAACACTATGGAACAAATTTTGGGGCATCAAAAAGCATTCACATTATCAGTTGTGTCCAAACACAAGTTATTAGCAGATAAAATGGCACTAGAAAGCGGTTTAAGCCTCATTTAAAATATAAAATGATTGGAACAACTGCAAAAAGTCCACTTTTTGATAATAAGCACTACTTTCATTCGGTTATGGGGCCAGAGACAAAATGAGGGCCCCCACCACCACCTTCCTGTATGTGAGATAAGATGGTCCTGATGCCCCACTATAGTGAAGGAGATGTGGTATTTTAAGTGTTACTAAGATTATCTGAGCTATAGAAATGTAACTTCATATATGATTAATCTGTGAATAAAACCGTATGATTCCACCACATAATCTGTAAAGACCAAACAGCACTGACTTATTTACCACACAAGAAACATATTTCTTCATTAGAGCTGAGAGAGATGGTGCTTGTAATAAAGTTAATCAGTGGAAACGATCAAGTGAGTTTGTGGTATAAGTGAGATATAATATGGTTCCTGTTAATTCCTGTTCTATCTTTTCAGATCACAGATGGATTGGTTTAGAATTATTTAATGTCAATATATGTTGAATATATATAAAAAATATCATCATAGTACAGTATTGTAATAACTGAGGTGAAGATGATCAGCGGTAGTTCATGGGATGAAAGTGGATTTAAGTGACTTGACATGGTTGTTTTTGCACGAAATGTGTTGCAGTACACATAACAAGGAGAGTGCAAAACAAAGAAGACAGAGGTAAACTATTCAATAATCCAATAAATCAATAATTATTCAATTCAATTATTCAGTAAACCATTCAATAAATGAGATTTAACAATGAATTAAGAAAACAAAGAAACAAGTTGATGGCAGGAGGACTGAACAAAGAAAAACTAAAGAGAAAGTCCATGAACATCAACATCCTGGGCTTTTTAGTGATATGTCATTTGATTGGCTGGCATGCTAGGAATCACTTCTTACACTGCAACCAAAATGGCTGACATACAAAAAAGGACATTTTATGGGAAGGACCGAGGCATGTAAAGTTTAGCTCTTTAAATGTTTTTTTTTTTTACTATTATTATTACATATATATTTGTTTATTAAAGTGTCAGGAACAATACATTTAGCTTTCAAAGCTGTTAACTTGTTTGTGTTTCAAAATATCATCCTTTTTTACATGTCCACTATAGTGGACACCAGAACCATGTTAATGTAATTAATGACTGCATGTTGTAGGAGGCAGAACTGAGGCAGAGAGGATTCTTTAATAGTAAAGGGAGACTCTGATTTAGAGTCTAACAATCAGACAATTAGAGAATTAGAGACAATAAAAGAAAGACAATGTTTAGTTTTGAAACTTTTATGTTAAAATTTGTTTTTGAATAACATCACTTCTTTTTTGTTTTTGAGTTCTGCTCTCTTTCAGACTAAACTGTTACATTAATTTCAATACAAAAGGAATATGTTAGATTTTCTGTTAATTAGAGATTAATTACAAAAAAATGTGTCATGTAAGTGAAAACTGAGTCAAAGGATAAGCATTAATAAATGGTTTTGCAGATTTGCTGTGTGGTTCTCTTGTTTGAGTGTAAGGCTTCAGAAATTGTGTAGAGTAAAGATTATCTGTGGAAGCAGTTGAAATAAAAAAAAAAAAAAAGTCAATTGACTTGCGTAGTCACCAGATCTGAATCAACAGAGCATCTTTAGGCTGTGCTGGAATGAGAGATTCCTAGATGTGCAGCTGAAACATCTGCAGCAACCTTATGATCCCAAGAAGTGTGTGACCAAGATATATGAGGAATTTTTCCAGAACTTTGATTTGACTTTTAAGCTTGTAAGTGTGTGTGTGTGTGTGTGTGTGTGTGTGTGTGTGTGTGTGTGTGTGTGTGTGTGTGTGTGTGTGTGTGTGTGTGTGTGTGTGTGTGTGTGTGCAGGGCCGGAGTGGGACACCTTTTCAGCCCTGGAGTTTCAAGCCTCAGACCGGCCCACCTCAGTTCACGACTGACTATATTAAAATAAGGTCATTTCCAAATCAGTTTCTAATGACACTATCACGTCTTTTTTTGAAAAAACAGCTGCTTTAGAACTTCAAATGTTCAACAACCCTAACAGTATTATATGTCTTAACAATAAAAACGAAAACAATAAGTTACTCTAATGAGGATCGAA